TTTGTAATGCTAAAAAAACACCTGGTGGAACATCTCACAACTAACTAGGTTAACTGACAACAGGCCAGTAACATGATTGATTATAAAAAAGCATCCCAGAGAGAGTCTTTTAGAACTAAAGATAGGAGGGGTTCAGTTCTCTGTGAAAGCCTGAAAGAGTGCAACAATTCCAGAAGATAATTTCTCAATGTAAAATAGCAAAGAACTTGGGGATTTCATCGTCATAGTATCATAATATCAGTTCATCTTCAGTTCATATCATAATATCAGTTCATCATCAGTTCATATCAGTTCATCATAATTAAAAACATTAAAAGATACAGAGAATCTGGAGAAATCTCTCTATGCAAGGGACAAGGATGAAAACCAATATTGGCTGGCTAGAAATCACTGCATGGGCTCAGGAAAGCCGTTGTCTATGAGCACAGTTCATCGCTGCATCCGCAAGGTAAAACTCTACCATGCAAAGAAAAAAACATATAAACGGGATCCAGAAACACTGCCGCCTTCTCTGGGCCTGAGCTCATTTAAGATGGACTGAGGCAAAGTGGAAAAGTGTCCTGTGGTAAGATGTATCAAATTTTAAATTCTTTTTGGAAGTCATGGACGCTGCATCCTCCAGGCTAAAGAGAAAAGGGACCATCCGGCTTGTTATCAGTGCACATTTCAAAAGCCAGCATTCGTGATGGTATAGGGGAGCATTAGTGCACATGGCATGGGTATATATCACATAGGCACATCTGTGAAGGCACCATTAATGCTGAATGATATATACAGGTTTCGGAGGAAAATAAGCTGCCATCCAGACGACGTCTTTTTCAGGGAAGGCCTTGATTATTTTAGCAAGACGATGCCAAACCACATTCTGCATACATTACAGCAGCATGGCTCCGTAGTAAAAGAGTCTGGGTGCTAAACTGGCCTGTCTGCAGTCCAGACCTGTCACCACTGAAAATATTTGGCACATTATGAAATTAAAAAATACAACAAAGCAGACCCTGAACTGTTGATCAGCTAAAACTACAGCAGTGTCTCCTCAGTTCCCAAACGCTTACAGAGTGTTGTTAAAAGAAGAGGTGATGAAACACAGTGGTAGATGTGCCCCCGTCCCAACTTTTTTGGAACGTGTTGCTAGCATCAAATTGAAAATGGAAAAAAAGCATAGATTTTTCAAAAAACAATATGTTTCTCAGTTTCAACCTGTGATGTTGTCGTTGTACTATTTTCAATTAAATGCAAGGTTTTAATGATTTGCACATCATTGCATTGTTTTATTTACATTTTGCACAGCATCTCAACTTATTTGCAAATGGGGTTGTATGTAAATGAGCTCTGTTCTGATTGGCTGTGCTGTTTTGTGCCTCTTTTACAAAGCAATCCAGACTGTATAGCCTCAACGTGAATGGACTGTATGGACTGGGGACGCTGTTGAAAAAAAAAATCATAGAAACCATTAAACGTTTCTGTTGGTGTCCAAAAGTCTCCAGTGGTATTCTGTGTTTCCCTGATGATTTGATATCACAGATGGTTCCCTAATGGGATCTAAAGTCGGATACTACAGGAAACTAGTGGTCTGCAACAGTCACCATTAAGCCAATTTCTATTTGAAAGCAAATCGTCAGGTTTTATTTCTAATGCTCGTCTGTTTTCAGCAGGGGAACTAACTTTGGAAATGCTTATATACTACACCAAACTCAAAAGCAGTGAGAATTATGTGTTATTCATGATACGAGCTCTTTAGCTGCATGCATTCAACCCAGACGCAGCAACTGATTAGGTAACACCAGCTAAAGAGATGCACAGACATGTTCAAAGAGTTAACAAGATATCTGTCAATCACAGCCAATGCAATGTTGTGGAAATTTTTATCTATGGAGACATACAGTACACTCACGCTAGCTCAGTACACAGTGAGCTGAAAGTCATGACAAAAGCTCCTCCTCATCACCTGCTCTCTTGTGATACCTGCATGCCAAAAATAGCCCTTTGAAAAGACATGAATGACATCAGAAAACTGGATTTTTCCACGCTGGGCAGGGTGTTGGCTTCCTGAAGCTGAAACCAGCTTTGCAGACACAAGAATATAGTATTTGGTTAACACCAGTTCAGTATGGAATCACATTATTCACATGCTATATTATATTCTAATATAAATAAAAAACATTATGAGTGAACCAGAATGTGCAAATACAGGAATCGCATTGCTGCTGTAGGCCTCGCCTCATTACTAAACCACTTGGGTGCCCTTGTGTCTGAGCACATGATTCTTACTCCTTCCACGAAAGAGTAAAGTCCAAGGAATCATGCTAACTGGGTTTCACTGTACAAAGGTGACCAACAGCTCGTGATGGTGACTTTGCTGTTGGGGATTGCCTGCTTTGCATCAGCTCTGACATCATTTCCCTTAACTTCTCTGAGTTGATGGCTGTGTACAGAAAGGGTTGCACAAGCCAGCCTCTCATGTTTCTTTCTGTATACCTGCCCTAATGCTCTGCAGTCATGCAACCAGAGCCACGCCTTTGGCGATAAAGGTTGACAGGAGCGTACAGAGACACGGCTGGTTTCAACACTTGTTCTCTATTGTGACTTGCATAATGTTTTACGCAGAAGAATTTTGCCCAACAGCTTTTGATAATTGACTATTTATCTACGTTCCTCCTACAAATACATTCCTTCAAGGCTGGACAAGCTGGCAAAGTCCCATTCAAACTAATGAGAAACTGCAGAAGCGAATCTGATTGAGTCACTGCAGTGTTGAGTTTCCGGTGTAAAAATGCGATGCTACTGAGCCGGACTACTCTGCTGTGGCTAACTGGTACTAGGCAGGTCAGCAACAACACGTTTGCCACCATGCTAATGTTAGCTTGTCCAACTCAACTGACAAAACCACATCCAATCTATCCTAACTGTAAATACAAAGCAAAACTAGGCAGGTTTACAATGACAAATTTGCCACCATGCTAATGTTAGCATGACTAGCTCAACAGAAAACTACAACCAATCTTTCTTAACAGTGCTAACTTTCACGCTTATGCAAATAAACCACATTTGAGCAAAACTAGGCAGGTTTACAATGACAAATTTGCCACCATGCTAATGTTAGCATAACTACCTCAACAGAAAACTACAACCAATCTTTCTTAACAGTGCTAACTTTAACGCTTATGCAAATAAACCACATTTGAGCAAAACTAGGCAGGTTTACAATGACAAATTGACTAATTTGCAAATGTTAGCATTACTAGCTCGACCAAAAACTACAACCAATCATTCTTAACAGTGCTGACTGTCATGCTTATGTAAATAAACAGCATTCGAGGTACATTAGGCAGGTTTAAATTTGCCACCATGCTAATGTTAACATGACTAGCTTGACCAAAAAAACTACATCAGTGCTAACTTCCACATTTATGCAAATAAACAGCATTTCAGCAAAACTAGGCAGGTCGACGATAACAAATCTGCCACCATGCTAATGTTAGCGTGACTAGCTTGACCAAAATACTACAACTGATCTGTCTAAACAGTGCTAACTTTCACATTTATGCAAACAAGCAGTGTTTGTTTAGCAAAACTAGGCAGGTTTACAATGACAAATTTGCCACCATGCTAATGTTAGCATGACTAGCTTGACCAAATAACTACAACCAGTGTATCTTAACAGTGCTAACTTTAGCACCTATGCAAATATCTAGCATTTGAGCAAAACTAGGCAGGTTTACAATGAAAAATGTACTAATTTGCAAATGTTAGCATGACTAGCTCAACCAAAAACTACAACCTCTATCTTAATAGTGCTAACTTTCACGCTTATGCAAATAAACAGCATTTGAGGTACATTAGGCAGGTTTAAATTTGCCACCGTGCTAATGTTAATATGATTAGCTCGACCAAAACACTACATCTGTCCAAACAGTGCAAACTTTGACATTTATGCAAATAAACAGCATTTCAGCAAAACTAGGCAGGTCGATGATAACAAATCTGCCACCATGCTAATGTTAGCATGACTAACTTGACCAGAATACTACAACTGATCTGTCTAAACAGTGCTAACTTTCACGCTTATGCAAATAAACAGCATTTGAGCAAAACTAGGCAGGTTTACAATGACAAATTTACCCATTTGCAAATGTTAGCATTACTAGCTCGACCAAAAACTACAACCAATCTTTCTTAACAGTGCTAACTTTAGCACCTATGCAAATATCTAGCATTTGAGCAAAACTAGGCAGGTTTACAATGAAAAAATTGCCACCATGCTAATGTTAGCATGACTAGTTCAACCAAAAAACTACAACTAATCTGTCAAAACAGTGCTAACTTTCGCTTTTGCAAATAAACAGCATTTGAGCAAAACTAGGCCGGTTTACAATGACAAATGTACTAATTTGCAAATATTAGCATGACTAGTTCAACCAAAAAACTACAGCTAATCTGTCCTACGAGTGCAAACCTTCACATTTATGCAAATAAACCGCCTTTGAGCAAAACTAGGCAGGTTTTTGCCAACATGCTAATGTTAGCTTGACAATAAAAACTCTGATCTACCGTAACAGTGCGACCTTTTGCACTTGTAATATTAGAAATTTTAAATGTAGGTATTTTGACAAAGAATTTGTTGTTTTGAATGTTTTAGTCAACATCCTGTAAAGCTAGCAACCAAGCAACAGCGGCGATTAAAGAATGAATATGTGGGCGGAGCCTGGATGTTAATGAGTATCAAAGTGTCAAATTCACTGAGGCCCACATGACGGCAACGCTGTAATACAAAGGCTATAATACAGCGCTGGGAGTTAAGCGAGCTGAAAAGGGAACCATGTACAGCTGAATGGTCTTGGTTACGCTGACCAAAGCATTATGACAAGAGGCTGGAGGGGGTTTTGTCTGGCTCGAATGGGGAGCTGCTAAGGTCACAGAGGCCAGAGTGACTCCTATGATCTGTCGAGAGAGAAAGAGAGAGAGATGCAGTTCCAGAAATAACAGTGGAATCAGCTGCATTTCTGTTTTCAAAATATACTTTATTGCATCACAAAATACATCTGTACCATTCGCAGGTCATAGTATAAAAACTTTTAACATAAATACATTTTTATCTTAAATTAATATAATGAAATAATTTAAAAGGACTGTAAAATAAACAATTAACTTAAGTAAGAACGAAACAGCTGTTACAGGAAAAAAGTTGTGAAAGTAGTTCCTTTGTATTTCAGTGGTTCAGATGCCCTTCCCTTTTCATAAACACATCTCATTAACAATAATAAAATGTTAACACACTGTAGAAGCAACACTACGAATAACCAAGAAGTTTCCTGAAAAAACGAACGTTGAGTTTTCAAACAAGTTCGGTTCGGTATTGGTGCCCACATCCTCTGTCTTCGGATGCCAGGTCGTTTTGGTTTTGTTCAAAACACAAAAAGTTCCTCAGGAGAAATCCTTCGGTGCCTCTGGTGCTCACCTTCGATTCTTGATTTAGGTCAGAGTTTGCTGTGTTTCTCCAGCTAAAGGTGATTTCAGTCTCCTGACTGCCTCGAAAGCAAAAACAAAAACTTGCTGAGTCATGTTGACTGGTCACCAGAGACGAACGCCCCTCCTCCACGCTGACGTCTAGTTCCTGAATCTGCCCTACAAGGAGGACGGGCCTTTTTTAGTGCATTTTCAATACATTTTCCATTTTCTTGGGTTGTTTTTTTGCGGTTTTCCCCAAGTTTTCTCTTGAAGGTCTTGACTTTCCTCATCGTTCTGGAAGGTTAATAACAGGCACCCATTGATCCATGCAGCGGCTCTCGTGGCAGAAGTGGTTCACCTTCCACAGCGCCTGGTTCTTCGCTGTAGATGTGCGTGGGCTCTGCGAATAAACCCACAAAAAAGCTGTTAAACTTCTGTCTTAATAACTCAACAAAATGGCTTTGCAGCTTTTCAGAAATATTGACTTTAACTGAAATGAATCCATTCATGCCCAACAACTAAATGTAGTGTAAAGAAGAATCCTGCAGAACCTGTTCTGATGTGTCGAGAGTGCTGATTTTTTTTCTAGTTATATTACTCAGATGAATCCAAATTGCAAATTTCATGCATATTTCATATTTTTTTAACAATCAAATTGGGATTTTCTATTGTTTTGTTACAAAAAAAGACTCATGTGACCTAAATCCTACATTTAGTGTGATACAATGTTATTAAAAACCCATATAGTCCCATCAATTTAAAGAATTTCTTCAGATTTATACTCCGAGAACATCTTTACCATTTCTGAAATGGTCATTTAAGGGTTAACGTGCAGAATTTGGGCATTTTAACTGCTTAAACTTCTACAACTTCAGAACAACTTGGCTAGTTTGCACTGTAGTCCATGTAGTTACTGAATAAGCTTTAAAATTTAAGGGGTTACACAAAAGAAGCATAGAGAGGTTTATAGTGTCCAATTGAGTTTAAACCTACAGCTTTAACAACAAAGCTGTATCAGGCTTTATGTAAATAAATGCAAATCAAGCACGGAAAAGTCACCTTTCACTGCTGTGGCAGATTATTATTTGCATGACAGCCATAAAGCAGGCATTTGCCAAGTATTGCCACATTGCTTTAGGACATGTTGGGACAAGTTTAGCAGTACGACTCACTGCTCTTCACCCGGATGCCCTACATTTGGTTCACGTGCTCACTTGTGGCTCTACTTAAGGGTCTCTCGTGTAACTGTGATGCTCTACAGTGCTGATGCAATCATCACTGCCCAAAAGTCTTAAATCTAGTCAATGTGTCTAATATTTCTCAGTTTAAGATTATTGTAAGAATATTAAACTATTATTAAATTTTATTTATCTAGTTTATTCTTATTCTACTACCAGATAATTTTGCTTGTTTCAAGCATTATTTCTCAATGTTATGATGTGATAGAATAAGACAACTTCTCTGCATAAAAAGACTCAAAAACAGTCAAAAGTGTCTAGAAATAAGTCGAATAGTCTTCATATTCTGACCAGATTTAAGAAGTTTGCACTTTTTACTGTGAAGCTACTACAGGTGGGCAATTTGATGACTACTTACAGTGACCAGGACGCAGTGGAAGTCCATCTGCTCTCCTCCCTGCTTGCCCCCGCCGAGGATTTCGGCCAAGCGCCTGGTGTTGTTTACCCGCAGGATGTCGATGTCATTCTCACAGCAGAAAGCCTGGATCAAAGTGAAGTGAATCTGGAGGGCGACGTCTTTGACGTCCTCGTCGTCAGTGGCGAGGATGCAAAGCACGACGTTGTCAGGGTCCCTGTGCATGTGACAAACGGAGAATTTGAACATCAGGCATGTAAATCTTTCAAGGACATCAAGACAGGAGCAATACTTGATGGCTACTCACACATTTAGTGACTTTGCAGCTTCATACACCCCGACTGTGATGCAGCCTTGGAGTAAGGCGGCGCTGAGGACCTCCTCAAGAGCTTTGGACACAGAATCCATCCTGAAACAAGGCATGAAAGCAATGAGAAGCATGCAGAGCAAGAGGGAAGCAGCAAATCCATTCTGAAAGCGAAGGGGAACATGTGAGAGGGAAGAAAGCAAGGCAGCCACTAAAACCCTCGCTGCACATGGCACTAAAGGAATGTGATAAAGAAGGAAGTAAGTGCCTTAACTCTTATACAAGCTGATATATAATGCAAGTTCCTGCTCTAAGTAAGTCCCTGATTCCAGGAAACAGGTGTCTACAGCAGGTGATCTGCAGAAACCTTGCATCTCCAAACAGCAGAACTTGACGATTTCAACCATCTTTAGTGGTCAGTCACACAAAACTGAACAGAAAATGCAAGAGAGCCTCCAAACTGATGTAGATGACAAGGTTGCTGCAGCATACTCAGCATAAACTACACTCAAAGCTCTTCAGGGGTTCTTTAGTGCAGGGAATGGTTCTGTTTAGAACCAGGGATTCTCTGCATGTTGGAATGGTTCTTGAGATTGATGAAGAATGTGTTGAATATGGTTCTATATAGAAGCTCACAGCACATTCTCCATCAATCTGAAGAACCACGTCACCATGCAAAGCATTCAAGCATGCAATGGTTCTGTATCAGAACCGTTCCCTTTACTAAAGAACCCTTGAAGAATCATCTTGGTTAGCTGAACTGACTGTACTCTCCAGTCACTGCAAGTGTAATAAACATGCACCGCTGTTTTTGGTTATTTAATGTTATTTAAGTAACTAACGTTCAACCTTTTGACTTTTCTGGGTCCAACAAAACGTCCTGAAACCAATATGTATTCGCAAATTAAGCTTTAAACGTCATATGTATTACATATTTGGCAACCAGAGCGACGAAGCTGAAGTTAGCTTCTTTTTCGAATTTTCCGTTCCACCTTAAATGCTGCAGCCAGAACATAAACGCCGCGGCTTTTAAGGTGGAACGGGAAAATTCGGAAAAAAGAAGCTGGCGACTTCATCCTCGTACTTGAATCGCAAGAAAACATGGATAACCGTGCAAAATCATCACGATTACTGTGCTTAAGTAGTATTAATAACATTAAGAATTTAAAAATATCAACCATGATGTAAAAACCAGCTAACGTTAGCTGACGTACGAACATATTTGCATTAACACGACGGTAACTGCGTAACGTTACGCATAAAATGTCAAACAAAACTTACCTTTCGACAGAACAATCTGCGTTTAGCTCCTCAAAAGTCATGTTTCTTGTAAAATCCAGCACGGACTGAAGTAACTTCGCGTCAAAATGTTCGCTCAGGTCGTTAAAATCCACCGGGTTTCTCTGTACTTCTCTCCTTCGCCGGTTAACTCGATCTGACGGTGACCGGCTCGGCGAACATACAGATAAAGAAGATCCAGTCCAGGGTTGTCCAAATCTGCATATTACACAAAACTCTGCGCTCCGAGTGGCTGAGGAAAATTTGCATGTCAATCCTCATTGGATGTATGTTAATGAGGAAAAGCAAAATACTACGAAGGTTTTCGCAGAAGCACGTGAATACTCATTGGACGTATGATAATTAGGTCGGGCAAGCTACGCTCTGAATGGTCGTAGCAACAAGAACACGAGTCTCTTATTGGTTCGCTGTAGTGTTAGGGGCGTGGCCGGTATCCGGGGGAGTTTGTTTGTAATCGAGGCTTTGCCCTGGCATGTCAGTGGCTTGAGGACAAATTTGTGAATATTGCGTAAATGTTTATTAAATCACAGATTATGCATCATTTCAACTCGTGAACGCCTGAGCTCCCAATCTAAACCCACTTTTGTGAACATTTTAGACTACGCGGCTCGAGAATCTTGTTATAAAAGTCGTTATAAAAGTCGTTATAAAAGACTGCAGATATAAACACTGCCCAGTTGCACAACACAACTCAGGTTAAGTAATTTTTTTAAAATGATACCTAGAGGGATATATAGTTTTTCTTGCCTTTAAGGAAATCTGAACAACACTTGTTGAATAAAAGCACCTTATGTTTTTCTATATGGAAATCTGATGTATGGCAATATATGTATTTCAAATATATGACATATATTAGCATATGGATTTCACTTTTAGCCAACTTATATAAGTCATATGTGGACATATATGTGACATATATGCCAACGTATTTGAAACTGCCCATTATCAAATATGGCACATGTATTTCAGCCATATGTGACCATACATATATGTGTATCATTTATATTTACCACTATATGATTATATATATATATATATATATATATATATATGTATATATACCACTATATATTATTCATATGTGAATGGCATATATTACTCCTACACTCTCAAGGTTCTTCAAGGGTTCTTTAGCAAAGACAATGGTTCTATAGAACCACAAACACTCAAAGAAACATTTGCATGCTAAACTGGTGCAATGGTTCTTCTGAGTGATTGAGCATGTGTGGTTCTATAAGGCTTTTTTAGGTTCTCTGTAGCACCAAAAAGGGTTCTGCTTTTCTTATGATGTCAAACTTGTCACGTTAACAGAACCCTTTTTGGTGCTATATAGAACCATGTACAACACATTCTCCATCAATATGCAAAACCATTTCACCATGCAAAGAACCATTTTTTGCATGCAAATGGTTCTTTGAGTATAGAACCACCGTCTTTACTAAAGAACCTCTGAAGAACCATCTTTTTTAAGAGTGTACATGCTAGCTTTGTGTTATATAATAAGATGTTTATGCGTCTCCTTTGTTTATTCCAGAAAATTAGTATAATACCTGTATAACTAGTTCAAACATATGCACACTGTAAGCTTTGCAATAACATAATTAAAACAAGAAATAAATGAAAATATTGTTCTCTGGCGTATTAAAATGATTTAATATTTAAGTGCAAACATATAAGACAGTGTCAGTTGTAACTGTACTGGGATATATTCAACCATGTATCAGATAAGTGACCCATATATTATGCATATGTAGTCACCCACCTGTCAGGCATATATGTATGATCAATAATATGCATATTTGTCCAGTAGTTGATACATAAATGTACACAACCTATTTGTACATGTATTTTAAAATATATGCCTGACCCTCTATGATATGTGCCTATATGGCCATATTAACAGATTTCTGTATGGGAAATTATGGTTTTAATGCAGTTTTTCTCAGATTACGCAGATTATTCATAATATAAAACTCTCTGACTGAATTGTGATGATTTATCAACTTAGTCAGTAACATGTTCAGTGAAGTCATGCTGCAGGATTTTCCCGTCCTTGCTTGTTTCAGTTCATCACTGTTTACAGCCCAGCAGCGACACCCTGAGGACAAAAGAGTTTCTACCAGTGACTTAATGCACACATTTCTCAAGCTTTGACCTCCTCAGTCCTGTTTATGTCATCTTTCTCTGCACATTTTAGTGCTCTTACTGCGCTAATACTCATATTTGCTGATTATGTATATATATTATATAATATTACTGGTGGATATAATGGTATTAATACAAAAGTCTGCAGATATAAGATATAGATAAGAGGAAATGAGTCCACAACATTCAGTGAAAGAGACAAAAATGACTAATAAGTGTCTTTTTAACTGTATCAATTAATTCTAAGTTCACAATGAACACAATGAACACTTTTAAGTAAGTTAGTGAAAAAAGTACTGTATATAAAATTAAAAATAAAACTTGTAAACCTGCTACACACACACACACACACACACACACACACACACACACACACACACACATATATATATATATATTGTCATTGACTTTCCGGCTCAAATTTTACAAAATAAAAGTCACAACAAGTATTCAGCTTAAATGTTTACAAGGATTATGTTCTGATCTATTTAATCCAAAGGCAAAAATTGAGATAATAAACTTAATATATCGTCGCTGTCCAGTGAAAAACAAGTATCTCCAAAATAGTAACTTTGCAGGAAAGGACAAAAACGTTCTATACTTTCCATTTAAGTGAATGGAAAAAGTTTTTCTTCTAAGCAATTTTGGAGCAATTCTATTGGTCCAATCAGGATGAAATATTCACACAATGTAAAGGACAGCTGCTGAGCTCAAATGATGCAGAAAAGTGAAAATCTCAAAAATGGAGATGCATGTTTTTCATTGGACAGCGACGATATTCAAAATCATAATTTATAGGGTACCTTCTATTGGGAGGTGTCTGTCCCAAACCCTAACCCCTAAATTTACACTTGAGAAAATAATAATATAATTTTTTTTATCTTCTTTTGGCTTCTTTTAAAGTGAAGTTGAAAGATGTAGATTTATCATGAGTTTAATTTTTAAATGAAAAAAGACTTTAATTCTAAAGAACATGCTGTCCCATATTGTCACTACTGACAGACAAGCGCAAACTAATCACTTTACCCTACATCTGAAAATCTGAATGCAGAGCACTGTGATAGGGAACAGAACTGGTGATGGTAGTGAACGATTTCGGACACTACGTCCTACAGGTTTGCTCATTACTGAGTGACACTATAAACATCACTCCAGCAGTCCACTATAAACACTGAGACTGACTGCCCCATGAGAAGAGCTGAGTTCTGTTACAGGTCTAAGAGCTCTGTGGAGACAGTAATCCTAGAAGTTGCATGTGAGTCTTCAAACTATACAACGCGATGCATTATGGGTATTCCCTATACTAACCCGTTACATCAGGGGCACGTTCAATCAGAAAACTTGTAGAGAGGAGAATTACCACTCTGTGAAGTCTTCAGGTTTCTCAGACACTAGAGGGCACTCCTGAGCGAGTCCAAAATGAATGGGCTGATATGGAGCATTTGAGCAAAATCATAGTTTATAAATGCTTAAACATTTTTTATGTAAAAGAATTCATTCATTTCCTGAACACAGATCAGCATAAAACATTTTAACACTGCTGTTATATTTCTAAGAGCTTTTAAACTCGAGTTATAGGAGTTTAAAGCAGCGCCTCATGTACGTTCATGGCGTCTGTGAGCGCGAACAGCCAATGAGCTGCTCCGCTCGCCAGCCAATCAGCACTCAGTAGCAGTAATGCTAGCATACCGCTGTCCAAAACCCGTTTGCTATAGAAAAAAGGAAACATACAGGTGAGATTTCTTTGTTTTTTTAGTGAAATCCATCCCTCTACTTTCTAAAATTAAAGGAAAGTTCTGGTTGAGTGATTAGAAACTATTTTAACTATTTTAACTTTTAGCTGTTTAACTCCAATGACCTCCCATTCATTGAGGATTCGCTCGTGGGCGCCCTCTGCTGTTTAGCAGTCCTGTTTTTGATATAACAAGGTAAAAAGGAAGTGGCCAGATTCCTGATAAATCTGATTCAGTCTCAAAACATTGTGCACCATTTTGAGCGACATGGTGTGCAGTGGGCTTTGATGTACATTTCATCTTGACTGATTAGCGTGTTAGAGGTGTTACCCAATCAGCAAATAGTACCTGCTCTGTGAGGGTCCATGGGGGTCCTGACCACTGAAGAACAGGGTAAAAGGGGGATAACAAAGTATGCAGAGAAACAGATGGACTACAGTCTGTAACTGTAGAACTACAAAGTGCACCTATATAGTAAGTGGAGCTGATAAAATGGACAATGAGTGTAGAAACAAGGAGGTGGTCATAATGTTATGCCTGATCGGTGTATAAGCCGCACCATGTTAAAAAGGCAGTGCACACGGATTCTACGCAATGGAATCCTCTACAGATGTAAGGCTTGGTGTACACAGCTACTGAAGGCGTTATAAGGTTTATTATAAAGTATTAAACCCATTTCATCAGGCTTTGAAAAGAATAGCAAAAACGTTCTTAGTTGCAATGTTTGCATAACACAACAACATTTAACGCACCACCATTTCTGTTTAAATAAACATTTTGCCAGAGCTGGTTTGTGAGCAGTCTGGCCTCTTCCTATTTCTCCCATTATATTTTAAATGGCCTACAAAACAGGCCATTTAAATGGCCTACAAAACAGCAGAGGGCGCCTGTGAGCGAGTCCTCAATGAATGGGGGTTGAATGAAGCTAAACGGCTAAAAACGAAAAGTTAAAATAGTTTCTAATCACTGAACCAGAACTTTCCTTTAATTTTAGAAAGTAGAAGGATGGATTTCACTAAAAAAGCTAAGAAATCTCACCTGTATGTTTCCTTTTTTCTACAGCAAACGGGTTTTGGGCAGCAGGACACTAGCATTACTGCTACTGAGCGCTGATTGGTCGTGCTCACAGACGTCATGAACGTACATGAGGCGCCGTTTTAAACTCCTATAACTCGAGTTTAAAAGCTCTTAAAATATAACAGCAGTGTTAACATGTTTTATGCTGCTCTGTGTTCAGGAAACTTACTGTATTTCTTTATATTAAAAATGTTTAAGCAT